TTGAAATGATCATAATTACTTTCCAATGCTCGCATTAATGCGGAAAAAAATTTAGTTGTCACAAAATGCACGCCGATTGGCTTAGAAACTCGTGCTATACTAGTTCCAAATGCAAAATCATCATATTCCTTCTCAGACCAAAAAACAGAGGATAAATTCGAAATAGCAACTAGTAACTAGGTGGCTCTAAAGTTTTGCACCCCCTATTTTTGGCATTTAGGAAGAAAAAATTGTTTGCGGTATATTTCGACTTCGTGGCTCCTGTCACTTGTGAAGGATAGTGTTGCACACATTATTGCCCAATTTGGTTATTTTATGATGACGCGATCAAAATTTATGACGAAAATAAAGGTGGCTCTAAAGATTTGCACCTGACTGTATGTATGTCTGTAATTTAATCCTTGCCTGACGTTTCTTAGCCTTTTTGACCTTAAAGGGTACAACCTGTGGAGCTTGGTCTGGTGTCTGCCTCTGCTTTGCATACCACTTTTTCATCTCCTCCTCTTTTCGCTATTCACAAACTCCATCCGATAAAATATTTAACAAACCGTGGCAAACGAAATGTGGCAAAGGGGTGAATTGACACGGTCACACGGCTATGGCACGTCAAAACTATGTCGATTTCTGAGATCCCTGCCCAAAAATACATCTAAAACGGGCGAAATAAAAAATTCGACATCTTTGACCGGCAAGGGTTTATGCAAAGTGACGGGAGACGGTTGAGCTTAATGTCTACCGTCAGGTTTCATTATATACGTTCACAGTTTGAAGTCTAAATACATGCCGTTCGGGTGTTGGAAAAATAGACAGACAGACGCAACGATCTTGTAGATAAAGAGCTTTCACCCCAGAGCGAGACTTGAGGGGATTGTGACTACGTCAAAATTTCCCAGTAGTTTAATTAAATATATTGCAAGCAAAACATTGTTAAGGACCTTCATGTTGTCAACTAAAATACATAATGTACGTGTACAAACCTAATTTGGGTGGGAACGCGCGTGTCGTGTGTTTATCAATTTATAATGGCATGATTTACTGATAAGTCCAAATGACTCAATATATATACACATATATGTACCCTGCCGACGATGGGGGATTTCACACCGCAAATTGTTACCAGTTCAACGGTTGCAAAGTAAGAAAATTATTAAAGATTTTGACTAAATTTATTTAGAAATCAAATACGTAAATCCCGAATAATGCCAAAAATTGTTACCCAGCCGGGAATCGAACCACGGCTCCCTTGAATTCATGTCAAGTGCTCTGACCTCTGAGCTACTAGGGCAATTAGTAACATTATAGGGACTTTTACTGATATTTGTCTGTGGCCTTTTTCTGTGAATTTCTACTTTCTTTTACGGTGGTAACGAACTGTTGCCTACCAAAGAAAGTTCACTTTTGGCCTACGATGGAAAGTTCTTTTTTATTCCGAACTAGGAATTTGTTTTTGATTTTAACACTACTTCTATCCTTGTGGAAACCAAATTTATTTAGAAATCAAATACGTAAATCCCGAATAATGCCAAAAATTGTTACCCAGCCGGGAATCGAACCACGGCTCCCTTGAATTCATGTCAAGTGCTCTGACCTCTGAGCTACTAGGGCAATTAGTAACATTATAGGGACTTTTACTGATATTTGTCTGTGGCCTTTTTCTGTGAATTTCTACTTTCTTTTACGGTGGTAACGAACTGTTGCCTACCAAAGAAAGTTCACTTTTGGCCTACGATGGAAAGTTCTTTTTTATTCCGAACTAGGAATTTGTTTTTGATTTTAACACTACTTCTATCCTTGTGGAAACCAAATTTATTTAGAAATCAAATACGTAAATCCCGAATAATGCCAAAAATTGTTACCCAGCCGGGAATCGAACCACGGCTCCCTTGAATTCATGTCAAGTGCTCTGACCTCTGAGCTACTAGGGCAATTAGTAACATTATAGGGACCATCATTTTAAATTTGTCACCAACTTGTTGTAAATCCATCACAATTTGTAACAAACTTTATAACCATGGCGGTAGAGTAATGCCTATATACTATCTGGTTATACTCGTAACCACATTTCTTAGAGTGTGTAATGTCAGCAAGACCAAAATGATATTTTTTAAAGCGTAGTTTGAAATATATTTGATCCAAGTACTGTAATTATAACTTTAGGGTACCTCAATCCAATTTAGCTGCTTGCGTAATCCCATTGCAGAGCTTCGAGTAATTGGAAATTGGTAATGCAATTAGAGATATCGACACAATTAGTCCAAGTATGTATGTAGTCTGGTCATTTCACAAAGTTCTACATAAATACAGGTCGCTGCCTAATTGGTCCAATTTGACCAGCAAACCGCTAGGGACAACAATTTTATAAAGAACTTTCATCGGTGAGCAAAACTCAAAGCGATTTCTATCAAAGTTTTCCAGTAGTTTAATATTCCATTGCAAGCAAAATATTGTTAAAGAGCTATATTTAAAGCCTAGTACGCATTAAATATTTTTAATGTGCAAAAGTTTAGTTAAACTGGAAACGCAAAATTGTAATAACATTTTGCACTTGATTTAAAGAAACACTCCAATTTAGTACCCATTTTAGTGAAATTCGATTAAACTTAAGTGAATAGGCAATTAAATTCCAAGTACATAACTTGCCGTTGCGCGTGCAACATCCTTTCAGAGAGCTAAGCTTAATATGTATGTAAATAAGAGCATGCGAACATACATATTTAATTTCGGTGTTCGCCGAGTTGAATGTTTAGCAGTTTATAATCGCACGATTTAAAACCATGGACAAAATACTTTGTCCAATTGATCTCCGTTCCTCTAATGGGTTGAATTTGTAAAGCCCATGCAACTACAATAATAGCGCAGTAATGTATGTATGCCCACTACAGAGGGTTATAACTTTGTATAGGCACAGTTGATAACATTAATTTTGCGTCCGAAGTACTCGTCGGTGCATGTTTTTGATATTTTCCACGTGTTCCTCATCCTTTTTTGATAAGGAACAAAGTCGGCGTTTCCAAAAATTAAGCATTTTAAGCCGCGTTTCATAGGTCAGTTTCGTACACTCGTCATCAAAAAGTTTGCAAAATCCATAAAAAAATTAGGCACACTTTTCTTTAAAATGTCGTCCTGAAGTTGCCATTTTGAGAAAACACAAAAGGTGCATAAGTTATCGTAACTAGTGCATCTTTGTACAAAATAATTCTAATTCAGAGTACTTCATCCAAATTGAATAATACTGAGTGGTGATTCTGACTGTGCAGGGTTCCAAAAAGTTTGTGGTTTCACCCTATTTTCAATGCCATATCCTCAAATTTTGTCGAAATACCAAAAAATGAAGTGTTTTATAAACTAGGGATCGTGTTCTTTCTTCCCCAACTCATTTTGTACTTAAAAAATTTTTTTTGTGAAAGCACGATCAATGTATGTCACGCGCGTCTGGTTTCGCAATTGTTGAGGGTGGTGCGTTTGGAGACTCTGGAAAGCTGAGATTTGTGTTTCTGGTCGATTTTTGGATATAATTGTTTGCATTGAGCTCAATTCTATCAGAAACCATATTAATTGCATTGATAAATTACATTTTAGAGATTTAGAGGTCATTTTAGGTGTGCAAAATCGTTTAGCAGCATGGTACACTTGGGGGTCAATTTTCGGACCCAGATTTCGAAATTTTAAAATGGAGTAAATTGAAACTTTGTTCGACTTGAATTGTAGTTTTAAAATCATTTACAACATTTTGAATTCGAGCAGCAGGTTTATTTATATCGGCAAATTAGCTACTGTGCCTATACAAAATTATAACCCTGTATACATGCAAGGCCCTTTAGCGTAGGAGTAGGGTGTCACATGTTGTCAGTCTCAGATTTTGATGTCCTTTGCATATGTTGCAGTACTATATGAGTGTGCAAAAAGTGAAGGAGGGTTAGACTGCATGAGCCCATTTACGCCCGCCACACCCCCTCAAAGGCGCCAAAATCCCCAGAGTTGCCACCCTAAAATCTTCCCAAAAAATCGAGATTTGGACGAAATTAACATTTTTGTGATCCCCGATAGTTGCTCTAAACTCAACTTTTTCGAAATTTTCAATATTTTTGAAGATTTTCTGATCAAGGGTATATGTCCATTGAAAAAATTAGAAATTTCAAAAAAATATGATAGATTTTAGTGCGGCAACTCTGGGGGTTTTTGTGCCTTTGAGGGGGTGTGGCGAACGTAAATGGGCTCATGGAGTTTAACCCTCCTTCCCCTTTTGCACACTCATATAGTACTACAGCATATCTATGTAAAGGACATCAAAATCTGAGACTGACAACATGTGACACCCTACTCCTAAGTGGATCGGGGGTATGATAGTCATCACGTTCGATTACAGTTGCCTGGAAGCTATTGCTGATCCTACTTGGCTCGGTGTTAGTGGGTTTTGTGCTCCTCTCAACGGTTCGGTGAGCCCAGCCAGACGGTCTGGCAATGCAATAGAGGGGAAGCCCTCAGTGAGTCTGTACTCTGTGTAGAAGATCCGACTCATGTCCACCAGAGTTATATGGTGAGAAAGACCGTCATGGATTGCAAACCAAATTTAGAGGACTAATTTCATTTTACAAGAAGTCGGGAATCTATGTACCTACCTATGTGTCTGCAGAATACAAAAGTCATACGAAATTATGGATTTTTTAAAAGAAATTAACTTTTTATCTATCTTCAATTACTTTATTTTTAGAGAATCGTGAAAGCCACGTAATTGGCCTGGGGTTTAAAGTTAATTTCTGCACGAAGCCTATAATTTCGTATGAGCGTTGTACTTATTCTGCATGCAGGTAGATTCTCGAATTCTTGTAGCTGCAAGCGCCCTGAGAATCCAGTCCCAGCGAAGAACGGAGGTCAAATTAGTCTAATTGAGCAAAGTAATTTGTCCACCCTTTATTGGAAAAAATTAATTTTGAAAAAATAACAGTTATTGCAGAAGAAAATTGTGACGTTTATGGATCTCAAGACAAACAACCAGACACATTTACAAGAAAGATAAGTTAGTAATGAGTTACCAATGAGTTGTAAATCAGTAGTTGGTCTTAAACTCAATTTAAATGATTAACTTTTGCAAAGTTTAAGCACTTTCGAAAAATTTAGACCAGTTAAAAAGTTCTGAACATCGGCCAGTTACTGTTTGGCATATACATGAAACTTATACCGTTTAATGCCAAATTTGTCTGAGGGGGCAAATATGTATGGTTAAAAATTAAATGTGTACAAACTTTTGTTATTGTCAGCTCATCTTCAGCTGACGCAAATCTCATTGGCAACTCTATAATTTAAGAAGATTAACAGGACCTGAAATGTTACACGATCATATACAAATTATAAAATGGAGCCTGACAGGATTGTCCTGGCTACACTGTATTCCCCTGAAATGGGACAAGTCTTCACAACGTATCGCTCATATCAAGACGCGGACGAAGCTGAATATTGTCCGAGCGGTGCAAATCCTGCAGCTCGGTTATTTTGGATTGGTCACCTTAATCGCGTACAACCAGTACAAGTCGGGATGTTTGATCACCCTCCTGCCCAACGTTTTCATGTGGCTGGTCACCATCACGCTGTACCTTTGGGGAATGGGGATCGATCTATCTAATAAGGCAGGGGCGTTGTTAAATACAACATTACGGTTTGAGATATGGATGCAAGATTCGTTTAAGGCGATGGATATTCTGCCGGATACAAATTCTGGGAAGTCGATAACGAACAGGTGGGCTAAACGGGGTGACGTTTATTAAGATGAATTGGATACGGAATATGAATTATCTATTCAGTATCCTGATACATTTACATTTTTTCGTTCGTTAGTACTAGTTAGTAGTTTGTTGATACTTTGTTTTAGTCGTACATGAATTCAATATTTCTCAATTAGAACAAGTATCACATCCAGCTACGTATCGTATATAAGTCCCTAAATTTTCATAGAAATCAACGTAACATCATTCTGCTGCGAATGCTGCCTTTCGTGAACAGGATGTGCATCCCGATGGGAATAATAAGAACGAGACGACTTCTTGGAAACCATTGTGTTCCGCCTTACTTGGGTTATTTGGTCGGATATTGTTCCAGTTGTCAGCAGCACCTAGTTCCAGCAGACGCCCTTGGATGGAACTTGGTAAAATACTTGGTCTCCATTGTGGACGGATATCACTGCACGGTGCAACTTTGGAGAGCTTTCTTCATCTTGTTTAATTTTCTATTGTTGGAACTGGATGTCTGTTGGATTATCTGGCCATACTGAGACGGTAATTTGAATTACCGTTAGGTTTATTAAGGTTCTTTTGGATCTCCGATTGATGCGATTGGACAAATGTAAATCAGTTTTATGGCTTCCTATTTGTTAGTCCAATGAAATCCAAGGCAAAAGTGGTGAAAAAAATGCTTGGTAATCAATAATTTTTGCAAATTTCCGTAAATATGAATTAACCAATTTTTGTGAAAATGGAAATACATCCAATTGTACGAAAACTTTTCTTTACATTTAACGGGCAAAACATTTTTGTCAAAGTACTTACATAAGTATTCTTGGCGCACTGATTCGTCGTCCAGAAGAACCTTAATATTATATGTAGATGTTGCCCATACTTGGTTAACCTACTGTTCACTTGTCCTTGTTTTTCGTGTCCCTGTTACAAATTTAGCTTGTTATTTTGCACACATAAAATACCCATATAACATACGGATTCAAATTACAGGATGGGCAACCCCGCCCACTCAACTCGCGTGAATCTCCCCGCCCGCATCAAATTGTACCGGTGCTTGCAAATTCTTGAGAAACAGTTCAATCTAACCTTATCAACCCGCGTGATCCCGGCAACCATGGTTGTTTCTCCCTGGCTGCAAATTTACTGTACTTTTGTTATGATAAAACTGGCTAGGTATCTTCCATCATCGGGATTTATGACTTATCCGTTCACCATTTTCATTTGTGTCATGGTATGCGTGGTCTTCGAAACATTTGCGGCACAAATTTTTGTCAACTCGGAACAACAACGGGCAGAGTGGTGGCTAGATCCGGAACTGACGAAGTTGAACCGAAGCAGGATACGATCCCGAAGGCCAATGAGGATACAAGTTGGGAGTAATTTCATAGACAGAGGGACAGCGTTGGTAACGCAGAATTTCTGCATTACTCAGACAGTCAGCCTGCTTCTAATGTAAATAATAAGTTCATCTTTGTTTAGGAATAAATTAATTTTCCGAAATATATTTCAGGAAAAGTATTATACATTCAATGCGGCACCTTAGGTTTGATACTCGTCGTAATGCAAATCGAAATGTATTCGTCATTTATACATATGTGTACATACCGTAAAACCTCTATTTATAGCCCTCTTCTAATTATAGCCGGTCTCCAAATATAGCCGGGTCTGGAGGCCAAGATTTCCAAATTTTAGCCGGGTCTCTAATTATAGCCGGGTCCCCAATTATGGCCGGGTCTCTAATTATGACCTGTCTTGTCCGCTGTATCCTTGTTCATAGTCCATTAAAGAAAAATGTTGCACATTATGCCAATCAACGAATAAGTTGAACTACTAATTTTTTCCCATTAATTTCGGGTTAATAATGGATATAATTATGACAGAAAATTTAAAAAACCTGCTAAACTTTGTTTCAAGATGTAGATTAAAAGAGAATGGGTTACTTATGGCTTATATTGCTAAATTAGAAAACTCAAATTGAGTCAACATGAATTATATTTGATTTTGTAACATCTAAAATGTTTGGAGCAACAAAATTTAGCCGGGTCTCTAATTATAGCCGGTCTCTAATTTTAGCCGGGTCCATGACCCTCAGTTTTGGATTTTAGCCCCGGCTATAAATAGAGGTTTTACGGTATCTATGTACATATGCAAAAAGTAAACGTAGAACACGTAATGAATAAGCACATGTTTAATATCAAGCTTCGAATCATGCCTGTTCATTTTCATTCAGCTTTACGGATTATGACATTGAATGAGCATGACTTTCTTGTCATTTGAATGAAAATGAACGATTCCGCAATTTCACATGAATGACCTTGAATGATATGGTGCGAACATTAAACGAAGAGCATAATTCTTGAAAACTTGTCCAGCATCAGTGATCTAACCAATTCCTAATTTGTGGCTTGATTTGTAAATATTACTCGCCATATAATCCCGGTATACTTTTAACAAACGTTCAGTAATAATGTTTAGGTTTGAAAAGTAAGGGAGTTAGAATTCCAATGGATATCTTCAAAGTTACAAGTGGCCAAGTTCCAAGTGTTTCAATATATTTTCTCCGTTCTCTATAGAGAAAGTTGCGTAATCTCATATTCTTCTCAACTTTACTTACGTAGTTCTTATTTAGTAAAACAACAATTATTTTAAAGCGAATTACTCACAGCTTAAATGTTTGTCATTTGTCAAATTGACTTGAAGAAATCAACGGAATAAGTTCTATGTAACTTGAATCTGCAGGATTAATTGAGAAGACTACAGCCAAAAATGGAAAATAAATTAAAATTTTGCCAGACTTAAAATGCAGTTTGCACAGCGACAGCCGAGGAACAACTGATCACCTGGAAGGGTCTAAATTCATTCATAATTCGTGAAACTATGTGACATTCCAAAATTACAATTAGATTAATTAAACAATTACATTATTGTTACACACATTGACAATGAGTGTTTGGACCTTACTCTTGTGTATTGTCAGATCAATCGTTGGATTTCAGCCTAAAATTGGAACAAAAAGTAGAGTTTATCATAAAGAAAATTTATTGGATATAAATATGTACTCGGAAAATTTTTCGTTAAATATGATATGGCTAAATTAATTAATTGATTTAGCACTGATTCGTAAAATTAACGAAATTAAAATTTTCATGCTTCTTCTCATAAATCGGAAAGATTCCCTTTACTTACATCAATATGTTGTTAACATAAATATCATATCCGAAAAATAAGATGAAAAACGCAAAATCACAATAATTAAGGATCCGTCTAAAATTTGAAATCTTGGTCAATAGAACCATCTGTGTTTGGATAAGCGGCAAAAACTAAACTAACTTAAAATAAAGTATTTACGGAAACTTTGAATAATGCTCGGAAACGTCGCGCGAAGGTATGGTTAGAGAATATGTTGCGCAGCCTGAAAGTTTTGAATTTATGCATGAATAAAGTCAATAAAGACAATAACTTTGTCACGTATTAATTTCATTTTACGCTAATTCTTGACGCCATGTTACATGTATTAGATAACTCTAAACGCTAAAAATTTCTGGATCAGATTAGTACCAATGTTATTTATTATCAAATATACATATGTATGGTAAAAATAACAACTTAATACAAATTAAATTAAATTATGCATGTGTAACTTTGCAATGCTCTTTTCAATTACGCAAGACAAATTTAGAATATTCGAAAAATTGTATGTGCTACTTTTTAATTTAAGGTATACATTGTATTGTAAGATTAACCTTAACAAAATACGAATCCAGAATAAGTAAATACATACACATCATTTATTTATTTTTCTTGCATAAAAAAATGTTTAAATTGTTCTTGGATGCCTTAGCACAATAGATGTATTGGAATGTCGTCACAGCGCAATGATAAATAAGTAAGTGTAAAGATCACCGAATTTATTGATTCCTATTCTATAAAATCTTTAGGTACCACCGCACACCCATTCTGCCCAACGATCTATAGGCTCATTCGGCCAAGAATAATATTCTAAGGTAAAATAGTATGTAAAGCTTCGACTGTACGGTTGATCAGAAAAACGCTCTTTCCATTTATCCGAAGCACTTCCAAATATTATAGGAATGACATAAAAGCCTCCGCTACTCAACACGTCGAAAACATATTTAACTTTGGGAGGGCCATTGGTACAATCTCCGTAACCGTTGGGGGGAGGGTAATCGAATTCCGGTCCATAATATAGGGGCAACTCGTCCCCCGATTTCCAGAATGCGTCCGAAGCTATAGCAATGATCTTAATGATTTTTTCGTCAGGTTCAAGCTGATCCTTGATCGACCCCCAGTTTATCTGTGGTTCGAGTGCCGTGTTCAGCAAGGCGGTGAGGCTGGACTCCTCACTGTCTCTCCCGCCATACGTGGAATCCACGCTTTCCACTGCGCCAAGGAATTGTTCCATGTTGGACGTCTGCATGACATATTTATAACAGAAAGCGTCGTTCGGGTTGTGATTTTCGGCGGTGGGATAATCTCCGAAAGTTGTCAGATGTAATTTTGCCTTGGGATCTTCGTGTTGAAGTTTGCGAATGAGGGATTCAATAATGGCTATAGTTCTGTTCCTGTAAGGTCCTTTGTTACGTCCAAAGTCGACTAAGGTGGATAAATTATTTTTTTGTAAAAGTTATAAAGTTCATGAGATATGTTTGCTGCACGATAAATAATGCGGAGGCAACGGTAAATTGTACTATTAAACATTGGTTGGATTACGTATTTTATATATTATTAGTGTTCAGATTAATAGCACTACGAATCTTTCGATTCCATAGTGCAGCCCGTATTAAGTTTAGAGGATGTAATTTCGATCTCGATTTCAATATAGAAATAACATTTACGCGATTTATGAATTAATTTAATTAAGGTAACGCTTCTAGGTGTTCCAAAAATTCAACTTTGGGGTGCAACCAGATAAAAACTAAACTTCGAACGTTGGAACTTGTAACCAATAAATTCTGACAAGTGGATAGTCCAACTGTGACAATATATGTCAAACATTATGACAAATATGACATGTATCGGCTTGACACGGATAAGCTTCATCTCTAAATATGATCATAATTATACAGATTCACCTATTTTTACACTTACGTGTAAAAGTTTAGGTTGTATCCATCACCAGCGCAAGCTCGTAGCGTACCCGACAAGTGCAAATTTCATGCTGGATTTCCGGTACAACAATATCTTTAATCTGGAACCCCATGGTATCATCAATTTGATCGATTTGTATCATTTTATAATTTCTTGGGGTTGGCGCATCGTCGAAAAAATTTTTATACGTCGAATATATTTCCGGCGTTAGTAAACCGATGAGATGAATGTTACTCTTCTCAAGGGTTGAAAAAAACACTTTTTTGGAAACTGGGGCTTGTTCCTTACAAAATTGACCTTCAGACCATTCCGTCCCCCGGGACCCGTTCGGAGGGCTTAAATTGTATTCAGGGCCTCGATTCTTGTTATCATCTTCGGCCCATTTCCACTTGTTGTTAGAGAAAAATATGATATAGTTTCTGTTATACGATTCAGTAGGCCAATCAAATTTGTAATCGATTGCCGTGAAATATATGGCATTTAAAGTGGAGTCCCGCTGATCGGAGTCTCATTGTGGGAGAACGTTTCTTGGCAAGTCAATTTTTTGCGTGGAGTTTAGTCCCCGGGAAAGCACTCGATAACAATAAAATTTAGTGGCGTTGGGCTCAACCCAATCCGTAAATCCGGCCACGCCTGTCGTGACCTGGGGATTGTATTCATGCCCCTGATATATGTTTTGTATTGCCTGGTTAATGTTGGATTCTAGGAGGGCGGCGAAAAATGGGGAATCGTCCTTCTGTTGCCAGCCTGGTGGAATGAAGTAAAAAAAACTGTATAAGAAAGGACTACAGGATTACTAATGTAGCAACTTAATTGCTGCACTCTAAATAAAATTCAGAAAAATTTACTCAAAGTGTGTATGAAAGTGGATGGCACAACCAGAAGGTAAATTTTACTCAACGTTGAATAAATTTTACTTATTTTCATTTAGAGTGTGATTGTTTGCGATTTGAAGATAATGTTAGGTCAGAGTAGGTGATCTGCATAAATTCGGAGTTTAATCTTAAGATATCGATTTCGAAGGCGGAGTCGGGATGGGCGTATCCCCAGAAATAGTATGTCCGAGCCAGTGTCGTTCTACGTATGCATTTACTTATACACTCTTAAAAACTTAGTTACGAATGACTTCACCGAGCGGTGATAAGGTTTCTCACCTAACAGTAGTAAAGCTAACACCAGCCGGTAACAATTTGTCACCATGTGTTTCTCACCATGGGGTGAAAAACATTATCACAATTTGGTTAAGTCACATATTTACATATGCACTCCGTAAGGTGACGATGAACACCAAGTTTGTAAGAGTGTAGCTTTCTTCAACTTTGAACCTACTTACGTTCAGGAATCACGTAAAAGGGAAACTTCCCGTCTAGGATTAGCACTACGCGCA